GGATAAATATTCACTGCCCCTAGTGGGAATTTATCGAGTTGTGGTGACAGCGTTAGTGCACAACCTCAATGTACTCATATACCTTTGTTCTCAATAATGTACATGGGCAATTTAAAGATAAATTAAAATGAAAGTGATACAAGAGGTAAGTTTCATATGTGCATGACATGATTGTATATGTTATAATGAAATATATACATGCATATTGAAATGTCATGATCAAATGGTAAGAATGCATATTCATGAATCTATTGTTACATGTTCATTTATTGTCTCACTAAGTCTATGACTTAGCGTGTAAGTGATTTACACGTAGGTACAAAGAAACAAGAAGAGCAGTACTAGAAGTGACAAGAACATCATCACTACTAAAAGATCATATCAGAAGTAATTGAAAAAGTAGGTATTTTGAGTTATGCATAGAGTGTTGGTATGTAATAAGTTGTTAATTACGAATGCTCTGATCGATTTTGTATTTCATGGTCTCTCTTATGTAAATTAACATATTTAGTTTTAATGAAAGTTTAAAATGTCCCTGTTTTTCTTTAAGTGTCAAAGTTTGAAAAGTCAATGTGACACATCGGACTCATATTCGGGTCGGATACGAGTTAGAGGTGTTTCAATCCGACCATCCGTTTTCGACACCTCCCGCACCATCGTGTTCCTTGTGTCGTTCCGAGTCTGCCGGTGTCCTCCTTGTCTCCGTCAGCGGTAGCGAGTGAGGAGGTGAAGCGGTCAAAGTTTCATATTTGTTGAAATCGAGCTCTCTACCGTTCAAAATTGTGAATCGAGCTTTGTAAGTGCCTCAAAATCACTTAAACTAATTTTTAAGAATTTTTCTGGGAATTTTTCGACACCGTATCACTGTTCACGCGCCACCCCCCGAGAGTGGGCATCGTCTGGCCGCAAGGTGTTAATTTTGTAATTAATTTCTGTTTGGGTGCTATTTGTGTAAAAACTTGGGTGTTAATTTGTATATATTTACAGAATGTGGCTAATTTTGTAATTAATTTCTGTTAGGGTGATATTTGTGTAAAACGGTCAACTATTGGACCGTTGACCGGCGTTGACCATTATTGACCTGAACTTTGACCGGCGTTGATCTGGCGTTAAACGAGCTTTGACTTTGACCGGGTATACTTATCCTGACATTTTTCGACGTTCTGAGTCCGATTCCACAGTCCATTTTTCGAAATTTGGACCCGAAGGCCTCGACATTGCCAATCAAACCCGTTGACTTTGACCGAAAAGTTAAAATTTTCAAAAAGTTAATTTTATGTTTGACGTCCCAATATATTTTTGGGGTCCGTTTTGCCAAATTCGAACCTGATAAGTGGTTTTCACTGATTAATCACCCGATTCGATCGTTTTTCGAAATTAAGCCCCATTTTTTATGCAAATTTTATTATATGTATCTGAGGAATATTCGAAGATGATTTCAAGATCAAGGGCATTTGAATGGAATTTAATGGTTGATCAATATGGCACGTAAATCGAGGTAATACTTTGCTACATCTTTATGCTTTATGGAACATGTGAATATTGGTAAATGCATGATTAAGATAATGTTGGTCTCATTTGTGTAGTTAATTAATTTTTACACTCGATCTGAATACGGTAAAAAGGTTCAGTTTTTCGAAATTTGGACCCGAAGGCCTCGACATTGCCAATCAAACCCGTTGACTTTGACCGAAAAGTTAAAATTTTCAAAAAGTTATATTTTATGTTTTGACGTCCCGAATATATTTTTGGGGTCCGTTTTGCCAAATTCGAACCTGATAAGTTGGTTTTCACTGATTAATCACCCGATTCGATCCGTTTTTCGAAATTAAGCCCCATTTTTATGCAAATTTTATTATTATGTATCTGAGGAATTATTCGAAGATGATTTCAAGATCAAGGGCATTTGAATGGAATTTAATGGTTGATCAATATGGCACGTAAATCGAGGTAATACTTTGCTACGTCTTTATTCTTTATGCTTTATGGAACATGTGAATATTGGTAAATGCATGATTAAGATAATGTTGGTCTCATTTGTGTAGTTAATTAATTTTTACACTCGATCTGAATACGGTAAAAAGGTTCAGTAATTGATTATGGTTCAGATGACTTTTATAAGAAATTGAGGGATTGTTAGAATTAAATTACAAGTTATATGCTTAGTGATAAAGAAATCAACCTGGATATGTAACTTATAATTTATTTCATCAAAGGTTAAATGTTAAAGGTACTTGGATGAGAAATTATGAGAATACTCCGGTAGGGTAAAATTACGAAAATACCCTTATGTTATAAAAAGACAAGATTTAACTATGGAAGTTGGATAAGAGGTTTTTAAAGACATTGATTTGATAAAACTATTGATGTGCATAAGAAATGTTAGTTTTACTTGGAAATTATGGATAACTGTTTTTAACCCCAAGAGAGTCTATGCAAGATACTAAAAGTATGTTAAGGAATCTTTTCAAGATTAGAGAATGTTCGAGGAATCAATTAATTATAGGATCTCTAGATTATAATTATTTTCGTTAAGAATTAATACCGAAATTATCTGGTTAAGAATTACGAAAATACCCTTGAGAGGTAAAATTGTCTGAGTTGACCCTGAATGAGAAAATACTTTGAGAATTCGTACTTAACTCGATTAAATATGTATTTAATTGTTAAGATCCTGTCTTTGTACAGAAAAATTCATGATATTTTGTTTGTAAAATATGAGAAGACACTTAACCCGAAAATATCTGAGTTATGAGTAAAAACCTGAAGAAACTGAAATAAGTGATAAGTTTGAATTCGATAATAAGATCGGACGTAAGGAAATGATTGTAATACACTGGATCTGTAAAATGACCAGAATACCCTAAGAATGCAAATGACCAAGAATATGACCAAGGAATGATTGGATATCCTCGAGCTCTGAAATGAATGGAATATAACTGAACACCAAAATGACCAAAATACCCTTATGGCCTAGAATAAGTAAATGTCTTGGATTAATTTAGAAATCCAAATAAACACGGATGTTGTACTGCTCTTAAAAGTTCTGGAACGCAGCTTAAGTGGTCAACCAATGCTAGTGCTATATCATTATCTGAATGATATAAGTATCACTTGAATGTTGGTTCGTCTCATTAAGTTTGGATTGATGATAATTTTGGAAGTAAGCAGCTCAGCTGAACTTTGGATCGCATTCGGTACTCAGAAGTGGATATTTGTTAGACAAATCAACCAAGAAGACCAAATTGAATTGAACGGAAGTACAATACTTATCCGAAATTCAGAAACGTCCGAATTACTCTAAAAAACTCTGAAGTAACTGGGATACACTTGACCGTTAAATAAATTAAGTAACCTCATGGACTGAGGATTAAATAAGTGATTTGAATGGGTCTGGAAACGTTAATGAACATACATGATGTAATGTTCTTATAGGACATGTACTACAAATCAAGCACGTCAGCATTTCATGATATCGTGGAAGCGTGAAAATGAAATAAAGAGCATTGAAATATCTATTAGTTTCCTTAAGATCTATTCAGCGATGATTCCGAAGATAGTCTATGGATAAGATTTTTTGGTATTAAAAAGTAAATACCCTGGAAGGATAATGTATTTACCAATCGACAAGCATTAATTCTGGGAGATATTCATTTAGAGTTGTTTGATAATGAAATCAATCGACATAGACTGTAAATGTATTGAATATTCATTTCTTCCTTATCAACTCAAGTCTCATTCTGAATAACTGATGATTACATCAGTTATTGATCTCTTCCAATAGTGATTCTAACTTTCGACATTCTATCGGTAAATTGAATATCCATGTTATAATACCTGACTTGGATTCTGAACGGATACTTGACCTGGATTTTGATATGATACTTGACCTGGACTATGTTTTGATTTTTGATTTATCCGTTTACGGATGGACATGTTTTATTTGGGGGTAATGTTGGAGGAAGTATACCTGGAGACTCCTCGGCTGTGTGCTCAGGGCCTTACTTACCGGCTCCTCGGTTGTGTGCTCAGGGCCTTACTGGACTTGACGGTGGGTGTATGGTTTTGGGAAACCTACATATTTTGGAATTGACGGATGGGGGTAGTGTTCATGTTTTTTTAAAACATGTTACATAATCTGATTTTACTGAAATATTTCCATCTGAACTGAATATTATCTGTTACTACCCGAGATATCAATATGACCTCAGCTCAACATAAAGATCTGTAAATATCTGAACCAATAAAGAAATATATGTTTATCTGTATCTGCACGTTCTTCACATCATCTGGTAGTTCTGTATTACTGAGCTTTCCAAAGCTCACTCTATTACTCACTATTGCAGGTTAAGAGAATTGTATCAGTGCAACTATCGACTTCAGTAAGGGAGTTTTCCGGTGTTACTTGCAGACTATGGTACATGTAATTAGGGGGTATGTAATTGTATTTTATTTTAAATATGAGTATGAAAATCTATTTTATTTATAAATACTGATAAATGATTTTATGAGTTTACATGTTTTGATAAAAAGTTTTAAATTTTCTGAGATTTTACAGTGGGTCGCTCCGGTGGCCCTAATGTGACACTCGAGATCGGATCGGATTACCCACATCGATCTGAGGGGTTACACAATGAAGCTTGGAAAGTATGTAATGTATGCTTGATTGCTTTGATGTGATTTGTGTATTTTGTTGAGATATTTAGTATGGTGTTTGAAGGTGAGATTCTGCTCAATGGAAACTGTGAGGAAGGAATACTTTACAGAAGAAACCGTACCAATCATCTTTAGACAATGAGGCAATTACCTTATTCTTTCAATTTTGGGAAATCAATATCTTTTAAAGGAGAATGGAGTACTCCTAGAGGAATTGAGTTCGAGCAGGACAGCTGCGTCTGTAGAATACATGTAAAACTACAAGAGTTTTACACAGTGTAATTGAATCTTATCCACATTTGGTAGATCTCATGGATCGTGTTTGGAGGTTGTAGTTCGTGCACATGGTTCGGGAAGACAACATAACGGCTGACGGCATGACGAAGCTCGCTTGGTCGTTGAAGCATGGTCTGAGAACCTATGATTATCGTCCCATGGAGGTGTTGGCTATCCTTCAAGATGATAATCAGTCCCTGAGCTAATAGCGCTACTGTTCTTGACAATAAAAAAACTATCTCAAGTTTATTCCGGGGATTAGAATTCTGATAAAAAGATGTTTGGGATTAGAATACTGAAAATCAAGTACGGTTGAAGGAGAGAGAATAAAATTACTGATGTTTTATTTACTTTTATATTTTTATATTTTTAATAAATTAGCTTAAAGTTAAAATACTAAAACAATTAATTTTATTTAAAAAATAAATTTCACAATAAAGATAATTTAGTAAAGTCAACTTCTAAATAATCTTAAAATTTTTCTATCAAACATTATAATTTTATCTATTTTATATTTTATCTTCTTAATTATAATTTTTTATTTCGTAAACAAAATATATATTTGGTTGGAAGAGTTGGCATTCAAAACGCATGTCTATTCCTTTCTTTAAAATATTTAATTAACATTTTTAAATTTAAAATGAGAATAAGAGTAATTGAAAAAGATAATAAAAACATATAAAAGTTTAAATTATTTTTATTTAATCATAATTAGGTATGTATTATGCATTAATGAAGAATATCAACATCATCATATATAATTTTTATTTACTCACTTTCAAAATATAAATTAATTAAATTACTCTTATTTTCTAAAGATATCAATTTACTCGACTTTAAAATTCACGAGGCTTAAAAGACTCTTAAACAAAATTATTTAAGTAAACTTGAAAGTGTCTATTTACCCCAAATAATTTTACATCATAAATATAACTGTTGATGTAAGAATTTTTTAGTTTTTCAATAATAATATGATATTATCTTATAAATCAAGTTAACATCATTATTAATTTTTAACGTGATTGTTAAAATAAAAATATTATATTAAATATGATATTAAAATATAATTAAGTGATTGAAATAAAATTATAAAAATGTATCGGTGATTAAATACGTAGTTTATCTTTAATTTTATAAAAGGAAATACCTTTCTCTTTAAATAAGCCAAAAATGAATAAAAGCAAAGGAAGAAGAAAAGACAAACTGGTTCGCTTAGTAATTCCCTTCACTACCTCCAACTTCCAAACATAATCCTATTGATGATTTTCTCCAATTCATTTGGTATCGCCATGGATCTGCTTAATTTCCCTTCCATTCATTTGGGTATTCCCCAGAATCCATCAACATGCGCTGCTTCTGCTTGACTCTCTCCTACCCTTTCCACTACGAATATACAAGCTACATACGTTTTTGTTTATGGCTTTTAGGTCTTCTGCTCCAACTTCTCATGTCGCCTCATCCCTTCCTTCTTCATTTCAGTTCCGGGTGTTTCCTCTTTTCCATGTATAACAATGCGTATATAGCCAAGTGTTTAGTATGTGTGCGATTTATAGTGTTTGTGTTGCATTTCATTAGATATTCTGACCTGGAAAATCTTGACCTTATTGGATTTTTGTTTAATTTCTGATGTCAAATCTATTTGAATTGTAAATTTTGAATGCCATTAGCTCAAGGTATGCTTCCATTATTCTGTCTGAGGCTTTCTATTGTAAGTAATTAATCTATGTTTTTTTTTCAAGTTATTTTGTTAAATTCAACATCCTGCAATTCCATTTTAGGGTTATTAGAAGTGTTCAAAGACATCTCTTAGTTGAAAAAGTCCAGTGTTGTTTTCCTCTTTTGATATCTTGTGTTTTACCATCCAGGTAAGCTTGTTAGAAGACCATATAATGACCAGCGAGAGAGGACTGAGCAGCCCAGAAATACTAAAGGTAGCTTCTTTAACTAATTGCATAACAAATTATTCTCTAGGTGTGGGATTTAACCATTTTCGATGCCTTTGAAGTGCTTTCTTTTATAGTGTAAATTACCCAAATCCGAATATATTCGGCCCCTATATTGTAGTCTACTGTAGCAGTAGTTTCAGATTATCCCATTTTGAATTTTAGAATAGCAATGAAATCAGGTCGTATTAGCAATGGTTTTGAAAATCGACTCCTGTAATAAGTTCTTACTTAATGATGCTTCTTACTTGTAGTCCTTAAGTTGAAGGGGTTTCAAAAGAGACAAAATGTGCTTTTCGCTACTTTCAAGGACCAATCTCAGTACACTGAGATCAAATCTGTTGATTCAGAACTGCTACAAGATGATCCTGATCCTGAAGAGATAACCCCGATTGGCTTACCATCTATTCATTTTGAGGGAAGTGATGGAAGACCAGGTTTTATTTCATTTTATAATCGACCATACAAAAGCGACGATGAAATCATTTCTAATGTGCAGAGGAATCAAAACAGCTTGCTATGGTTTATTGGTCCAGCAGTTCTTGTGACCTCTTTCATTTTACCCTCGCTTTATTTGCGTAGAATACTTTTAACCATATTTGAGGACTCCTTACTAACAGGTGAGTGCAATGCCATGTATGGAGACTTCCTCTTTCGTTTTTATTTTTATTTTTTGCAACTTCTCTTACTTTGGGATTGCATTTGACACTAAGCCACTTAAGCAACCAAATGGACAAAATGATGCACAATTTGTTGACCAATGGAGTTATTTGAAACTCGGTATCGGCAGTGACTGTCTTGTTGACCAATGGCAATTAGTCTGTTAATTGGAGCTCAATTTGATATATGAACCTGATATCAGACAGATCATGGCAAGGCAAAAGAATTGAAAATAGACAAAGTTTAAAAAAAAATATAAATCCTATATTCAGAAGAGAGTGCACTCAATTATTAAACTTGATGCTATGTTTGTTTCTAGATGTACATGCATATGATATGTTAAACTTGAATACTGGTTCTCCTTGTTTTCCTCTTGGATATAGATAAATGTAATCCTTCTCTAAATAGCTTGCTCTTCTCTGCTACAGATTTTCTCATATTGTTCTTCACGGAAGCATTTTTCTATTGCGGTGTTGCTGGTTTTCTTCTGCTAATTGATCGTCAAAGGAGGCCTACCGGGCCAGATTCCGCAACAGAAACCTTGGCCCCTCACTTGGGTCAACGTATCTCTTCTGTCGCTACTCTTGTGCTTAGTCTAATCATTCCCATGGTGACGATGGGTCTAGTCTGGCCCTGGACTGGTCCCGCTGCATCTGCTACTCTAGCTCCTTACCTGGTTGGTATTGTTGTACAGTTTGCCTTTGAGCAGTATGCAAGATATCAGAAGTCACCTTCGTGGCCTGTCATCCCGATAATCTTTCAAGTAAGGGCGGTTCTGACTTAATTTAAAACCCCCTTTCTCTGAGTATTGTCGTTAATCGGAGAGGAGTTCTTGTCCTTAGATTTTTGTTTTTGGTTATACTTCATCAGGTTTACAGATTGCATCAACTGAATAGAGCTGCTCAACTAGTGACAGCCCTTTCATACACAGTGAGAGGTGCTGAAATGACTACATACAACTTGGCAATAAACGACTCTTTGGGAACACTTTTGAATGTCCTCCAGTGCCTTGGGGTTATCTGCATTTGGTCACTCTCAAGTTTCCTCATGAGGTTCTACCCTCCCACCTCCCGGATTACATAGCATATCGAAAAGGTTACTTTTGAGTATCTGGAAACACAGGCCGAGCAGTTTATCTTATGAAAAAAAAAATGAAATTTATTGAATTGTTTTGAGTTAGAGTTGATAGAAATATATAAATTTTAGAGACAAATTATTATTATACCAAATCACAAATATATAAATTTTGAAGACAAATTATTATTATACCAAATCACGTCACTATTATATTTAATATTTAACATCAATAGGCTGTTTATAATAATATTTTAATCACAATTTTAAGGCTTAAAAGTTATTTTTGCCCCTGTAGTAAATTTATCATTGTTTGCCCTTATTTTATTTTTGCATCAATTTTACCGTCAAAGTTGTTTAATTACATTATTCTATAACATCTAATTTAAAACCCTAAGATATGGTTTATGTTTAAGGTTTATGATTTAGAGGTTATGTGGTTATAGTTTAGGGTTTATAATTTAGTATTTAAAGTTGGGGTAGGTATAACATGATGTAATTGAGTAACATGGTTAAATTGATGTGAAAATATAATAGGATCGAAAGTAATAAATTGGGTCTACTATAGGGACTAAAGTTACCTTTACGCCAAAATTTAAATTATATATATATTTTTAAAATGACTCAATTGTTAAAAAACGTAATTAAGTGATAATTTTAACAAATATATAATTTTTACATCAAAACTTAAAATAGCATGTGTATGATGAGATGCCAAGTAAAGGATTGTGAAGGTACGTAAATACTTTTAGAAGAACATGAACGAGCGAGCAAGAAGAGGTAAAAATCTCTACTGGTATTCCTATAATTTCTCCGAACCAAACGGGTGATTTGAGTGAGTCATGGATCGGCTTCCCATTTTTCTCCATCGTCATCTTCCCTTCCCCTATATAAACACTCTAATACACCTATGCTTCAACACATTCAGCTCTCTACTGAAGAACAAAAAAAGAAAAACAATGTTGGCAGCTACAATCCCTACAGACGAGCATGTGCACTCCACATTTGCTTCTAGATACACACGCAGCCCTGTTCCCAGGTTCCATATGCCTGAAAAGTCTATGCCTAGGGACGCGGCGTATCAAGTCATACACGATGAGCTTATGCTCGACGGTAACCCGAGGTTGAACTTGGCCTCCTTCGTCACGACATGGATGGAACCCGAGTGCGATAAGCTTATGATGGCTGCCATCAATAAGAACTATGTTGACATGGATGAGTACCCCGTCACCACTGAACTCCAGGTATCATTCATTTATTTGTTCACTTTCATTATGATCGGTATACTATGTTCGATATTCATTGATTTATAGTGATCGTATCGGTTATGCAGAATCGATGTGTCAACATGATTGCAAACCTGTTCCATGCTCCGGTTGGGGAGGAAGAGACGGCCGTAGGTGTGGGGACTGTAGGTTCCTCCGAGGCTATAATGTTGGCCGGATTAGCTTTTAAAAGGAGGTGGCAACATAAGATGAGGACGGAGGGAAAATCAACTGAGAAACCCAACATAGTTACTGGAGCTAATGTACAGGTGAGACATGTTCGAGACGGTGAATATATGTCTGAACATGGAACAGTACTAATGAAATTGTATGCAACAGGTTTGCTGGGAGAAGTTTGCTAGGTATTTTGAGGTAGAGCTGAAGGAAGTGAAATTGAAAGAGGGATACTACATTATGGACCCGGTACAAGCAGTGGAACTAGTGGATGAGAACACCATATGTGTAGCAGCTATTCTCGGATCGACTCTGACAGGAGAGTTTGAGGACGTGAAGACATTGAACGAGCTACTCATGAAGAAAAATGAGGAGACCGGTTGGAACACCCCGATCCATGTCGACGCGGCTAGTGGAGGATTCATCGCTCCGTTCCTTTACCCGGATCTCGAATGGGATTTTCGGTTGCCATTGGTTAAAAGCATAAATGTTAGTGGCCACAAATACGGGCTCGTATATGCTGGTGTTGGTTGGATTGTATGGAGGAGCAAAGAGGATTTGCCTGATGATCTTGTCTTTCATATTAACTACCTCGGATCAGATCAACCAACTTTCACCCTCAATTTCTCCAAAGGTAATCGACACATTAATTTCATACATTTCTTCATATCTTTTGGCTTAAACAGATGATAATTTTCCTATAATGATATGATCTCAGGCTCTTGTCAAATTATTGCTCAGTATTACCAGTTTCTACGACTGGGTTTTGAGGTAATTTCCAATAAATTCGACCATAGTATAAAATCATGTATCTGTCCCGATAATTATATGTACATGAATGAAATTGCTGATGCTATAGGGTTACAAGAACATAATTGAGAACTGCATGGAGAATATGAAAGTGCTTAAACAAGGAATAGAAAACACCGGGCGGTTCAACATTGTGTCCAAGGACATAGGTGTGCCCCTGGTTGCATTTAGTCTAAAGGAAGGCAGCAAACATACGGTTTTCGAGCTAGCCGAGAACCTGAGGAGATTCGGATGGATCCTTCCGGCTTACACGATGCCCGCTGACGCTCAACACATCGCGGTGCTACGTGCTGTGATCCGTGAGGATTTCAGCCACGGCCTGGCGAAAAGACTTGTGGAACACATCCAGCTGGTCCTAAAGGAGATGGATGCCCTGCCCGGTCGAAGCATTCCACATAAGAAGACGGAGAGGGAGACTCAAGAAGAGATCTTTAGGTACTGGAAGCGGCTCGTCGACCGCAAGAAGACAGGTGTCTGTTGATTTTGTCATCGGAGGGAGATCCGAGATGATTATATGTTATTATTTGTTTTGAATAAACATATGAATTCATGTAATATGTATGTTTTTTCAGTCCCTGATGCTTGAATTTGCAGTGTAAGGTCATCACTCTGTACTAAATGCACATTCATTCTCTTCATTGTTTCAATAAATATCAATTTTAGATTTTGTGAGATTGTTTTTTTCTTACGTTATTTATTTTCAGACCGTATAACTTCGTGTGTAACGCCCCCTTAGAGGAATATCTATATTTGAGATAGAAAATGGGAGATTCAGACTCTATCATGTTAATATGGTCAAGACTACTGTATAACTTCGTGTGTATCGCTTAAACGTTGTCGTAATGGTGAAATTTGTAGATTCATATCAAAATTTAAAAAGTTGTCCTCTTATCGAACATTGATTTATTTCATCATTTATCGAAACACACTCGATCATTTCAAATTTACTTTTCATTTGAACGTCGTGAATATATTATCAAGTGAAATGCGTATTTAATAATAATTTTAAAGGTTAACACTATAAAATACATCTAAATATGAGTCAAAGCATATTAAACAAATGTACAAAAAGACCCGAAGTGAAACAATATAAAATATAGGGATTAATCATGCAAATGACGTAAATTACGTGTAATGAGATGACATGGAACTTATAAATCATGAAGGAATAAAATGATATAAAGCAAAGTGTGAAGCTCAAATTAAAGAACAAAACATCAACGTTAGTGCTGGAATTTTGAAGGGCAAAAATGTAAATACTGAAAAAAATTAAAGAGCAAAATAATGAAAACTAAAGATTAAAAATACTGAAATATAAATAACAATAAAATATGGTTAGAAAATTAATATTTTAATTTTTAACCCGAATCATAATAAGACTGGTCATATCTTGGGACGAATCACCGCAAGGTCGTACAATAATTCGAGTGCAAGAAGTTAAAGGTTAGCGGTTAGTGGTATAAAAAATAAAATAACATAAAATAAAAGTCAGTAGTAAGGGATTAGTGATGTTAGAAATAAAATAAAATAAAGTTAATAATGTTAGTATAACTCGAACTGTAACAAGGCTGGTCATACGCGGAATAAGAGGTTGGAATTATTAGTTAACGACAAAAGACAACGTTGTTTAATTACTAATATTTTTCATGCTTACTATTTATTCAAACTGTTGTTAAGTTTTACTTATCGAGTTGTTTAAATATTATATAAAAATATATAATTACTTTATTAATTTATTGTCAAAATGCAGCCCTCCAACTTTGAATCTGATAAGTTTTACTTAAAAAAATAAATTCTGACTTATATATATATATATTATTCACCGTTAATCAGGACCGTGGCTGGGGGGCCGTAAACTGCGCGACCGCGCAGGCCCCCCCCAAAAAATGGGCCCCAAAAAAAATATACAGTAACATTTTATCAATAAACGTCACTATAGATAGATCTATTGTGACGTTTTTTTCAAAAAACGCCACTATTATTGCGGCTTTATTGATAAAACGCATGAATTTATTGCGGCGTTTGTCAAGAAAACGCCACTATTATTGCCCCGAAATCGAATATATCTAGAAAATAGGGACCCCTTTATACGAATTTGTACAAGGCCCCCGAAAACCCTGCCACGGCCCTGCCGTTAATCTTATTGTTATTTTACATTTTTCAGTCAAACATTTTAAAAACAAAATTAAGCCACTTTGTTTATGTCGTTAAAAGCAATGAACCTGAAGATTAACCCAAAGGGAAAAGGTTATAATTGATTAACCTTATGTTTGGGATTTAATTTTTTTTAAAGAAAAGGGTAAGGGGAAAAATTAAAGGAAATGATATGTGTATTTTTTTGTTTAAATAGTTAAAATTAATATTAATTTTTGGTGGACACATTTTACCTAAAAAGCCATTCTATACGTCAATTAATATGTCTTCTGTTATGAAAAGTGTTTGTTTTAGCCTCTGTCCCTCTACAATTCCTCCATTGTCTGCCAGATTAAGTCTACTGCATTGTGATCTTGTACAAGTTTACTATCTTCATGAGTTGAATAGCACTTATCTCTTACATTCATGTATCCAAATCTAACTGTTAACTTTCGTTGCTGATTGAAATTGCAGATATTTTGACAGCAGCACATGCAATCTTTCAGTGACAGAATGTAAGTTACATTGACTCCTTTCGTTTCCCTTCCTTTTTTTTCACTAGCATCCATGGTGGTCTCTTCTCTTAATTTTTTCCATCTAGAGTGCAGGAAAAAGGGGTTCGAGCTGAGGAGTGGGTAAATTTTCTGGTTGCCAAGTTTTCCTCAAAATGATATATGTATATGCAATTTAAAGCAATAATTTTACTCCGATGCAGTTCAAAATTTTGCATGGTAAACTTGGCCAAATTTGAGCACAAATATTTATTTACTAATTACTCCCACTGGCAATTCACGGATGCTTTTAATGAAGTTCTTCTGATAAACCGATAAATTGTTTACCTAGCTAGTTAGAGAGGAACCACGCATGCACATTCTGACACATGTCCATTTTCATAGAATAGTGTGTGCCAAAACTGTGACATATGCTACAGAGTTGAACAGTTGCTCATACACTCTAAATTGTATATATGCAGGGTCACACAGATAGACTAGTGGTGACCTTGTTTTCTACTGTCCAGGATGGGTCTATGAAGGCAAGAGAAGTGCTAGGTATTAACTTAAAACTTTTTATGTCTAAGTTTTTCCTAGATTGCAATTGGTAATGTAGTTCTGACTAAGCTCGTTGATTTTGTAGATATGGTGATGAATATCTACATCAAGACTATGACTGAAGATCATGACAAGGAAGTTGTTGCAAATGCGTGTATGAGGCATAGCTGATGTTATCAAGGATTATGGTTATATGGCTCTAGAGCCTTGTAAGTAGTTGACCGCTCTTGTTGGGAATCTTTGATGCTAAAATCTTTCATATGATTATCAATTTCATTTTTGTAAGTAGTTAATGATGTTGAAGTACATTACATTTAATTTGAATGTTTGTAAACTTTGATTTATTTATGTCAACTATTTTTACTTAATTCGAGTCATAATTAAATTTTAAGGTGGTTGTTATTGTATATTGCTATATGATATTAAATTTGGGTAATAAATAGCAGAAAATAACATTTGCAAATCAGGTTCGTTTAGCGGGATTTTAAGATAAAAATTAGTTTTAATTAGTGACGTTTGTATAATAAAACACCATAAATACATAGTCAATACCGGCATTTGTAAAACAAAACAACACTAAAGTTTAATATCTTTTGCGATGTTTATATAGAAAACGCCACTATATATGTAGTCAATAGCTGCGTTTTACATTCACAAACGCCACTATATGTTAGAGCATTAAGCGGCATTGTTTTGGAACAAACGCCACTAAAGATCATAACTTTTAGCGACCTTTGTAAAAAAATACCGCTAAAGAGCATAACCTTTAGCGGCGTTTGGCGTTCACAAACGCCGCAAACTTTTGCTGTGTTTGTTTTTGCGCCATAAGGATTTTTAGTGATGCTTAAAAACGTCATTATATGACTAAAAACTGTCGCTAAAAACCTGTTTTGATATAGTGAATGAAGAAAATAAAATAAAATCTATTTTTGTTAAAACAATGAAATGATTTGGTTAAATTATTTTTTCTAATTATGTCATTTACATAAACAATATAGATTAATTAAATTAATTAAAAATGTTTTTTTAAATAATGCATGGAGCATTTGGCACCTTATATTTGATCATGTGTTATTGTATTTTATCACAATACAAATAATTATTGCTGAATTTATTGTAATGCTATTTTTGTAACCGTTAAATTGTTTTAATACGAATTATATTTTTTTTTAGTAAAATAACGATTTGATATTTTATTTATACTCATGTTTTCGTATTCTAATTATTGGTTAATAAATTTTTTTTGGGTACAAATTAATAAAATTGTTTGATGTTATGCTTTAATCACCGATCTTCAAAAAAATAAAGGATAAAATATATAAATGGTCCTCTAATTATAAAATATTGTCTTATTAAGTCTCTAGACTATTAAAAGTTATAAAATGATTTTCTGGTTATAAAGAGTTGCTATGTTGAGTCCATTGACTATTAAAAGTTACAAAATGGTCATTCGACTATTTATTATGTTCCAAACTCGTCATTTTCCGTTAGAAATTCGACTACAATCTTAGTTGCATGTAAACATGATGATTGAGATGTGATAAAATAAAAATTAGCTGACCCTTTTTCCCATATGTAATAGGGTAAGGGGGAGGTAGGATAGTAGGCTGCCATCAACGCCAGGTTGAGTGCAGCTTCTGTGAGAGACCTCCGAATTATGAATTGCCCTCCGTGGGACTCGATCCCACGACCATAAGGTTAAGAGCCTTGTACTCTACCAACTGAGATGGACAGACAATTCTTGAGATGTGATAAAATCTGATCTCATAATCTCAAACGACTATCATATCTCAGTCAGCATGTTAACGTCCAACTTAAATGACCATTAATTTTTTAACGGAAAAAGATGAGTTTGGAACATAATGAATAGTCGAGTGATCATTTTGTAACTTTTAATAGTCTAGGGACTCAACAAACAACTCCTTTTAGTCGAGAGATCATTTTATAACTTTTAATAGTAAAGTGACTCAATGGAACATTTTTCTATAGTTGGAGATCATTTGTGTATTTTACCCAAAAATAAAAGAGATAACAATGTGATTTGATATGATAATACTTATAGTCCTAAAATTTATAGATTTTATCAATTTAGTTTAAATACAATCAATTTAAGCATAATCTTTTTTTTATTAATCTAAGGTGATTACAAGATAATATGTATTCGAAAGACTTTCATCCATTTAACAATGAGTACTCAAACACCCCAATAGACGTTGTGCTCGAATCTGAAACCTCTAGAGATAACAATCGTCCATTTAAACACCAAGATCCCTTCAACCACCCCTTTAATCATCCTCTTAAATATTTTGTAAGGACCAATAGAGCCAAGATAATTTTTTACCCTTAAAAGTGGACGAGTATTGATTCTAAAACCCATAATGTGTAACCTTCTATCAAATTGCAATTTTTCTTCCAAAATGTATCCGACTTGCCTGGCTACAATATCACAAAGTACTTGATTTCCGATGGTCAAAGAAACTAATACTTGCTTTGAAACCTTTTCCTCCTCTATTATTCAATTTTTACAATTGATAAAGTGTAGTGTACTTCTCACAAGGTAGTCCAAACTTTTCAACCAAAGTACAAGTAATAACATTAGTGCAACTTTCACTATTAATAGTCATAGAATAAGGTTTACCATTTCCATATTCCACATGTCCTTCAATATCACCTGATGAATTGAGAAGAGTGAGTGGGATAATCGTCTGACTAAAACTTTAAATTCATATGTTTTAAACATTTTCTTGTATTTTCTTTTGATAATTTATTTTTATCTTCTTAAAATTTTATAAATTTGTTCTTCCTAAAATATCTTGTGTCAGTACTTGAGTATCACCCTTAAAATCGTTAGTGGAATTATCATAAACATCTTAAGGTAGAATATTTCAATCATGATTGATATCATGTTCACTATTATCTCTAATGACCATGACCTTTATATTAGGGAAATTCCCAACATAATGATTTCTTCTTGTCTCTATTCCTTTTAGAATTTTTTTAAGTAAAAGAAAAAAATAGTTTAATTTATGGTTTTTTTTGTTTATATTCTTTATTTCTTCTTGTTTCTTTCAGACTTGAGTCATAGAGGAGTCGACTAAGATTTATCCCTAAGTTGAATTTCTGTTTCCTTCTCTGTTTCCTCTAATTATTAGTTTTATTTTGTGCTTTTATTACAAACGCTTACTTAGAAAATTTTAATATCTTTTACATTAATGCCAAATTTACAAAAGAGAGAAAATAATACTTTTACTTAAATACAAAGTAATTTTACTTTAGCACAAAGTAAACTTATTTTTGAAAAAGAAGATATTGATGAATCTAAACTAGGATTACCTAAAATAAATAAAGAAAAGTTTTTGATTGGATTGAATTATAAAAATTAATAACATAACAAAAAATTAATAATAATTTTTTTAAAAATGTATCGGACATCTATCTAGTGTTTGCATGCGATGTCTTTACTAAAAGTAGACGTGTTTTAAATTCTGGATATCCTATTGATGTGTTTCAAGATTTGTTAAAATAATAACCGATAAATGATCATTTTATAAGAATACATCTCAAACAAAAAATACATAGATCATATTTGAATTTGATGTACTAAAAAATAGTGTCAATGAAATTTGAAAAGTTATTTCTTCCTTTACCACATTAAATCCTCTTGTCAGATCACTTAATTTACATATATTTATAATTTGATCCATAAATTCTAATATATTTTATATTAAATTCAAGTTGATATTTAACATCAATTTTAATGAGGGATATATTTAACACATGTCTAGGTTAGTAGAATGATTAGATTGATATAATATTTATGATTTAAGGACTTTATTAAATAATTTTAAAATTTAAATATTAATTTAATATTTTAATCATAATTTAAGGATTTATGGTAGAAATAATCCTGGAAAAAATTTGTGGAGAAATGAAATAATCATTGACAAATAATAATTAAAAATAACATTGAAAAATAGTTAGAAAAAAGGAATTTGATGACCACCTATCCAACTTCTAGAACCTTTTTTCTACAAATGTCCTGTATTAAAAAATGAGTAAATTATAAATTTAGTAATTAAACTTTATTCTCTCATATTTCATTTATTGTACTTTAAATCTTTTTAATTTCTTCACTAAATTTAATACATTAGGGTTTTTTTTTGTTCACTAGGTCATTAAATAGTTAACGAAATTAAAATGGGTTGTTATGAAGATACAAAACGACATCATTTTGGTGAAATTTTTAATTTTTAAAACGACATATTTTTAATGTCGTTAACTATTTAACAGCAGAGTGACTAAAATAGGAGAGAGAATAAAGTTCAATGATCAAAATAATCCAATGCATTAAGTTATGTGAAGAAATTAAAAACTTTTAAAACTCAATAAAAAATAGGAGAGAGAGTAAAATTTAATGATGAAATTTATAATTTACCTTAAAAAATTCATAATTTTGTTATTCGGAAGCTTTAACCTCTAAAATCTTATGTAATTTTAAGTAGATATGATCTTATAATTATATTAAATTATTTAAAAAAATCTACTTAGTTTGATAAATATTTTACATATATTTAACTTTAAATCAATTTAATTTAATATTTCAAGAAAAAAAAGGGAAATCATTAAAAAATATTTAATTTTAGGATAAACTATTTATTTTATCAGATGCTTATTACTTGGTTAATGTTTTTGGCACTCAATAATTATTTTTTCAAAATTATACTTAATGTTACGTTTTGATTTTGTTTTGATAATTTGATGTTAAAATAATTAACAATAATGCTAATGTGATATTTTTAAGAGAAAATAACCTCAGTGACCAAAAATGCCTTATAATATACGATTTTAACCAACTTTTTTTGGATTTGCCAAAATGACCAACTAAATCGCAATGCGATCGATAATTCGCAACGCGATCTCCGGTATCGCAAATCAGTTTCCAGATTCGCAACGCGATTCTGACTATCGCATTGCGATTTCCCAAATTCGCGTTGCGATTTTCCTAATTCGCAATGCGAATACGAAAATCGAAATGCGATTACGTAAATCGAAATGCGATTACGTAAATCGAAATGCGATTACGTAAATCGCAATGCGAATACGTAAATCGCAATGCGATTAAGTAAATCGCAATGCGAATACGTAAATCGCAATGCGATTACGTAAATCGCAATGCGAATACGTAAATCGCAATGCGATTACGTAAATCGCAATGCGAATACGTAAATCGCAATGCGAATCTGTAAATCGCAACGAGATTCTGACTATCCCAATACTGAATTTCAAATTCGCAACTCGATTTTTGAATTCGCAACAGGTTTTAATTTCGCAACACAAATGTTTTGGGTATATAACTACGCAGCAGCAGCAACTCATAACCTAAATCCCTAAATCGCAACTCATTCCATCTCCATCTATCACTCTCTCCGGCGACATTCGTTCCTATATCCAACGACATCCTTCCCCATCCGGCAACAGGTTTTAGTTTCGCAGGTCGTTTGTTTAGTAAATTAATTTACAATAATGAAATCATCTAATGTTGATCATGTTTGGATAGATTTGTGTTTTGGAGGGTCATGGGAGAATGTTCATGGTGTTTTAGTGTTTCAAGTGATGATGTTACTTTGTATGTTATTGAACCTAGAAGTAGTGAAGTTGGGTCAGTAGCGGGTAGTAATCAACTAAGTTTTTCAACCTCAGTTTATGGTGCTCAAAATTTAATGGTTCCACCACAATTTCATCACCAAGCAAATATTATTTCACCACGTTTCCAATACCAAACACAATCTCAAAACCCACAACCTTTCCCTAATCCAAATCCCAATCAACTTTCAACACCAAATTCCGGTTTTCGTATTGACCAGTTAGACGATGATGAGCCAACAGAAAAAATTGTGAGTACTAGTCAGTATTCGAAATTTGATCTTAGTCAATACCCGGACTTTGATCTTGGTCAATACTCGGATTTTGATGATTTTTCAGAAGAAGAAACAGACCCTGCGTGTAATAATTTTGATATTGGTCAATACCCGAATTTTGATGATGAAACAGCCGTTGCCGAGGAAGATGTTGTTGATGATAATGAGGAGGAAGTTAAGACTGTAAATGAACATGTTGAACATCCATTCTGTAATTCATATAACACTGAAGAAGAAGAAGAAGAAGAAGAAATCCCCAAAGAAAAGTCCCCGAAGAAAATGCCACGGGAGTATAACTGGAATATGCCAGAATTACTTCAGATACCGGAAGAAGAGTTGGTAAAGATAGCAGTTGATTGTTACACAAAAATTATTCGTATCAATAAAGATGATTGTTTTGATACAAATGAAGACTTGAAGATAGCTTTGTATACGAAATGTGTGGAAGATGGCTATCAACTAAAAGTTAACAAATCAAGCAAAGATCGTTTCGAAACAAGGTGATGATTGACAAAAACTGTATGTGGCGTATGATTGCAAAGAGGATAAAGATTGCGAAATATTTCAAGTTAGGACTTTTATTGATAAACATACATGTTCAAGAACCCAAGTTTTTCCTCACCATAGACAGGAAAACAAAAAGGTGTTGGGTGGTTTTCTGGCTGAGTTAATGTTTTTGAATGGTAGGGTATATCGGGGACATGAAATTATGACTGACATGAATGCTCGGTTCAAGATTAGTATCTCATATTCTCAAGCTTGGAGAGCCAAATGTTATGCCTTGGAATTGTTGAGGGGTCGCCAGAAGCATCGTTTGCCCAACTGCCGGCTTATTGTCACAATTTAAAGCTGAAAAATCCTGGGTCGGTAACTCATATCAAAACAGATAGAGATGGACGCTTTGAGTTGCTGTTTATCGCCATTGGTGCTGCGGTTAGTAAATCAATATAATTTCGTTGACTCATTTTTGTTAGTTACATGCATTTCACATTTAAATGATTATATTTCTTGTGTATATGATTTTGTAGATTCGTTCGTTTATTAATTGCATGCGCCCAGTTATTATAGTTGACGGAGCACATTTAAAAGGTCGATACCTTAGAGTAAACTTATTAGCAGTAGCCATGGATGGTAACAATGGGATACTGCCAATAGCTTACAAGGTTGGCAAATCTAAAACCTCTGATTCATGGACATGGTTTATGGGGCATCTTAGGGATTGCATAGGTCCTATTAGCAATCTGACAATCATATCCGATAGGGCAAACTCAATTGAAAACGCTTTTAGAAGGTGTTTCCCAGATGCTTTTCATGGACTTTGTGGTGTTCATTTGTATAGAAATCTAAAATCAAGGTCTGCTGGTATAAAAAATCATAAATGGACATACTGGAAGGCTGTAAAAGCTTATCGGGAAGTGGATTTTAATAAGCATGTAAACTGTTTAAGACGTGTTTTACCTTAGTGTGCTCAAACACTAGAAGATGTCGGATTTGAAAGATGGTCAAGAGTACATCAACTTGGAGCAAGATATGGTTTCATGACGTCTAATAGTGTAGAATCAATCAACGCTCTAAGTCGTCATTCCCGGAAATTACCCATTATTATGTTAATGGAGTTTTTTCGAGCCTCTATTCAACAGTAGTACTACAAGAAAAGAAACCATGCAGGTATTATTTCTTTAAATTCGTAACTTATCATATATTTTACTAAGTATTATTTATTTAAATTTACAGGAACATTGGAACATCGTGTTACACCATGGACAGAAAAAAAGATAACGAAACGTGTTGTGAAGTCAACGTCATGGAGAGTTGAACCATGTTCAAACACTTTGTTTGAAGTACTAGATAATAACTTAAATGGGCTTGTCGATCTAAATGCAAAGACGTGTAGTTGTATGAAATGACAAACATCTGGTTATCCGTGTGACCATGTTATAAAAGTTTCTCTTCATCTAAACCAAGATGATTCAAGCGCATACGCTATGGATTGCTACACTACAGAAGTATATCGACAGACTTATGGCGAGATTGTCTACCCTATTCCACATCCTTCTGAGTGGGACATACCAGATGACTTACAAACAGTTTTGCCACCAGCCATGGACAGAAGGCTACCTGGCCGACCAAAAAGTCACGATCGTATACCGTCTAAGGGTGAAGAGAAGAAGAGATCGACATGTAGTCGGTGCAAGGAAAGTGGTCATACAAGGTTGACATGTGGATCACCAGTGCCATCACAATCATCTTTTCCTTTACCAAAATATGGATCCTCATCAAAATCCCAATCACAACCGGCTTCACCTTTTGGGACTGTTAACTTAGGTGATTTTTAAATGCAAACGTTGTATTATGTGTATATTATGTGTGAACTTTTAACATTTTCAGTTAGGCATGTATTAGTAACTTGAGTTTGAACATTGCTATGATATGTTTAGTTGTTATCACTTATTAGACATTCATTTGACTATCGCAACGCGAATATGACTATCGTAACACGGAAATGACTATCGCAATGTGGAATTGACTATCGCAACGCAGAAATGACTATTGCAACGAGAGAATCGCAATGCGAAATGAAAATCGCAATGCGAAATGAAAATCGCAACGAGTGAATCGCAATGCGAAAATGAAAATCGCAACGCGAAACTAATGCAGATAGTCTGTTTTGCATTCAACATAATGCAGATTGAAATCAACAAATCAACTATTACATTTCAATCAATTAAACAAGCACAAATATTATGTACACATCAATTAAACAAATCAACATTTACAAATCATCTTTTACAAATCAATTAAACAATCAAAAAATAATAATGAAATCAACTTTTGCACTCATACATCCATTTCACGCAGCTCACTTCAGGATTAACCTGCAGAAACCAAACATTGAATCAACAACACTTTCTACACATCTAAAACCTACAAACAACAAATTATTGAATTCTAGCTACTTAACCAAACATTTTCAAACCAAAAAGAGTAAATATGTTTAACAACACTTGCATTTGACTTACAAATTGTTTATGGACACTTTCATAACGCGGATGCAGGTAGGCAGCGTCTCGCATATATCGCTCTAGCCATAAAATGCCGAAACCACAAGCCTACTGTACCTCTATCTCTATCGGTGAGAGGTAGAAAATGTGTACTTCCTATCGTCAAATGCTCCAAGCACATGCATACGAGAGGACCACAATCCCCTCTGGCTTCCTTCATTTGTTGTGGTGCGATCTTGTCTCTGATAACTATAACATTGAACTTCTTTGGCTTCTTGTTTCCAGACTTAGTCCAATAATTAATTGCATCCAAGAATTTAGCCAAATGGGAGCTCCATCCCTTAATCATATCTCTCAAATCAAACAATGATATGTAATTTATCATGCTGTCATATACAATTGTCTTTAGGGATGGGAGCTGAAGCTCGACGAGAAGCCAATGAGTACGGTCCAAAACAGGGATAAACACCTGCATCGAAATGTAATAATTCAAATTGCGCACTTATTTATGAACACCTTTAAAATATTTAAACAAATATACTAACCTTATCGACCTCCCACCATGCAGGATAAAGTTTAGCTTGTCCATTAGCCAACACATATGATTCATGTCGTTGATTCTTCAAGTGAACTACGTGAAAAGACGTCGGCATAATTATATATCGCATTTTTTAATATTTTCCTTCAATTTCCTTACTATTAGAAGACGTGTCACCCATGCATCAATATGCTGTTTTACAAAAAAAGACATATATTAGTGAATTACATAAATTTTAAAAAAAAATTAATCAAACTGAAATATAAGAAATAAAAGACTTACCCCCCATCGAAATAGCCGTTGTCTTCAACCCCTAATAATACACCCCACCAAGACCGTTCAATCAACAAATGATATCATCGTTTGAGTTTGTATATGTCAGCGTAACACCCTTGGCTCCGCTCATGTAGATAAAAATCAACTGCGGTCTTAGCCCAAAGGGTATTATCCATAATTGTTTCCGGTAGTTGTTTCCTCTCCACTTCATCTGCCGGAATGGTACTGGCCGGTAACTTATACAAAAGCCAACTGTCATCCATCATGTCCGGCACGTGAGGGGGCTTCTCAATAATTCGATATATTACGTCGTGTGAATCGGGCTCTAGAATGTTGGGAGGGACCTCTTCAATGATGACAGTGGCCTCTTGAACGGTGGGAGGGGACTCTTGAGGGATGATAGGGGCCTCTTGAACGATGACAGGTGAGTCGGGCTTTTTTTTACGGATTCTTCGCACTATTGGGGTGAACGAAGACGTAATGGCACGTGCACGCCGTCTGATGCGTGAACTCCGTCTTGCAAGAAAAACCCGACGTAGAGCATCCACCTTAGCGGGCCGCTAAAAATAAATTAATACATAAATCAGTAAATAAACAGACATGATATTAAACAGTGAGAACAAAGACAAATATATTTCAAACTTGCACGGTATTCACCCAAGTCATTATTATATCATTGTTCACAAAATGCATCAGATAACATTCCAGAAGTAAGCACTTATATAAACATTTAAAAGGATAACATATAGGTTTAGTGCAGATTCAATGACAACATAAAGAGTAGTAGTTTATTCTTGAAACTTAAATTTTCAACACTGTGAAGTTAGTATTTGTCTTTTGGTTGAAGTAATGCAATTCATTCAAGTTTCAATTTGCAGAAGAAGAATAGAATCTGAAACTTAAAATCGCAACGCGAAAATGACTATCGCAATACGAAAATGACTATCGCAATGCAAATTTGACTATCGCAACGAGAGAATCGCAATACGAAATGAAAATCGCAACAACAAAATCGCAATGCAAAAATGACTATCGCAATACGAATTTGACTATCGCAACGAGAGAATCGCAATGCGATTTTCATTTCGCATTGCGATTCTTTCGTTGCGATAGTCAAATTCACATTGCGATAGTCATTTTCGCATTGCGATAGTCATTTTCGCATTGCGATTCTCTCGTTGCGATAGTCATTTTCGCATTGCGATAGTAAACTATTCTTCTTCTGCAAATTGAAACTTGAATGGATTGCATTACTTCAACCAAAAGATAACCAAAAACAAATACTAACTTGACAGGGTTAAAGAATAAACAGTTAAACAGTATTGGCAGCAACCGAATGAATTTACTAAGCAATCTAAGTGAAATTACGAGTAAATTTATCATCAAGTTAAATATGAAAAATATTAAACTTACCTCGTTGCGTAGAGTATGAACCTCGTTCTGCAACGATGCTATAATCTCACGTAGAGCTGCTACCTCACCACATAAAGTAGACACCTCAACACGCCATGCACCATTGTCATCGCGTAAAGTACCGACCTCCTTACGCAAGGCATTGACCTCATTACGTAACTCCCCTAACTCATCCCGTGGAGGTGGAGAACAGGGAGATAAACGTCATGGCATCTTTGCCGGTCGCCTATCATGAGGTGATGGTGGAGAAGAGGCTCGATGATGTGACAGAATAGGTGATAACTCTTGTTGTGGATGTGTATATTCGGGTCGATCAGGTGATGGCTCTGGGTGAGGTGACGGCTCTCGAAGTGGTGGCTGCTCATCATCCGTGCCATAAAAAAAAAGCTTACTAGCTTGCCACCAATCAGTGGCAAGCTCAGCTTCCGTTGGTGTCAGCCTCTGTAATGGAGTGTTGGCCTCCTAACAATATAAAAGCTCAAACAAAGTTAAATGTGTACTAGTAATAACTTGTTTATAAACATATGATAGTATTTGTGTTAACTTACATTATTTATTGTAGTATACGGTAGTAAATCTTCCCATTGCTGCAAGGACCGTTTTCTCTTCCAGGAAATAGCCCTAGGAATATCATTAGAAGTTTTTAATGCATATGTCTGCATGGCGGGAAAGGCCTCAAATATCCAAATCTACAAACAATATAATAACAAACATTAGTAATTGTTAAAGAATTAATTATAATTTGGAACATTATATAAAAATTATTACCTTAAAGTCCCAAATAAAGCCTGACAAAGTGTATTTGGAACCATCGCCACGCAAACTTTTCCGATCATTAAAGGCAGACGACAACTTATTCCATATAGCTCTCCATAGATACGAACCCCACGGAAACAGGTTCCATGCATTTAGGTCCTCTACCAATTTAATTAGATCATTAGGAATAGGTTGTCGGGCCTCTCTGCCTAAAAAGACGGCTTGCAAAAGTATTAGAAGGCATACTCGGACAACATCGACGTCATCCATCCGAGTAAAACCATCTTTCTTATTCAATAATCTTGTCAAGTCTTCCACGTGTAAATTCGACTTCTCCGTTGACTGCTCAGGAAAAACCCGGGAAAACCATGATAGGCGGGTAATATGTCTAGTGTACCGATCTACATCATCGTGTCCGAAGCGTAGACCGGTGATTAAGCAAAACTCCTCCCGCCCAAAACACGTATACGCCGGTAGAAAATTAAACCATATCTCTTCATCACGACGTTGCATAGTCTCTGGTAGATCGCTAGTCATGGTTTGAAGAA